TGGTCCCGAAAGCTGTCCCTCCTGAAAGCAGTGGCAAACTACTGAATGTAAACTTTGCCTAGAAAAATCAAAAAAGCTTTAAAAAAAATTGCTGGGATTCTGCAATGTTCTGTTAAAGATACGCAACTAATTAACCACACAAGGCATACACTAAACGAGGAGAAAGACATAGATCATGAAGTAGACCAAGAACAAGATGGAAGGATAACATCAGAGAAACTCTCAAACAGCATGATGTGTCTGTGGTCGAGGCGGCCTTCTCTTGAGGGTTGATCAGCATTTCACGACCTGATAAGAGGCACCAGGGACTGACCAACTTACATGACCTGAAAAGAGGCACCTAGGGCTGACAGCCATTACATGACCTAATGAGAGACACCAAGGGCTGACTGCCATTACATGACCTAATGAGAGACACCAAGGGCTGACTGGCATTACATGACCTAATGAGAGACACCAAGGGCTGACTGGCATTACATGACCTAATGAGAGACACCAAGGGCTGACTGCCATTACATGACCTAATGAGAGACACCAAGGGCTGACTGGCATTACATGACCTGATTGGAGGTGCCAATATGTTACAGGACAAAGATGAAGATGCAAACAATGAGGCTGTGCAAAGTCCCACTAAACTAACCCCGAAGGCCAATGCAGGCAACAAGTGCCTGAAGAAGTTGGATTTGTCAGCAGAAAGGCACAACTATCAGCCATACTACAATCAGACACCGATCATTTACATCCTCAGATGAACGCAGGAGATTTCCAAAATGTTCAGGAATTGTCTGAGAGTGACCGCAGTGAGGGAGTGAACTGGTCTATCCATCTCATATGTCATGACATAGGGTGTGTAAATGTCTGACATTTTGCATTCCAATGACAGCATCTGCCCTGGAACTACTTTTGTTTATTATTTTAAACCGGATTGTATTTCTTTGTTTAACTTCTTACACAGACATGCATTATTAAAAGTGAAGTACCCTTTTCCACGCCTTCAGGCAAATTGGGTATATAGGGCTAGACCTATATTTTATAGACCAAACAACACTTGGTGAGTGATGTAGTCAGCATCACGCCAGCCACCTTTACTTCCCAGGACTGTACGTGGTACCCACTCAAGGCTGGGTCGACCTGAGAGCCAAGGTAATTTTAATAAGTCACGACCTGACATGCGTTATTGCAGACCCTAAATATGAAAAGTTTCTTGTAGCTGTTTTCACATTTCACTCACGCTTCATGTTGTTTTCTTTAGATAATTAGACCTGTTACTTTTGTTCAGATTTCAGATTTGTTAGTCACACTTAGACGTAGTTTTATTGCTTTAGATAGTGACAACTGCACACACTTGCTTTACTCTTTTTCAATGTATTTTTTTGTTAGTGTTTCCTCTTGTTAAGTTGCCTATATTATTTATGTGCCATTCAGGTATTGGTTGTATATTGGCAAGGTTGATGTGGACTTATTTTGTTTGGAACATTAACTTTAATCAATTATTTGAGTGCAGCAATTAATCATTCGTTATATATCCCAGTGTGGGTTCCGGGGCCCAATTTTGGCGGAAAACAGAACTGACCAGCGGTTCGTTAACAAGCAGGTTACATCAGATGACTATTTAGGGGTTTGCTGAAATCAGATGTTTTGGACCAAAAGGTGCAGATATCACAGCCTAGCTGTAAACCACAACACTTGGTCAACCTACTTTTTTTTATATCAAATGCAGAAGAAGAAGATTGCTTATATCTGCACTGAGACTTTTTTTTTTTTTTAAATTGACCTGGGCTCCCAGTCTAAGATGGGTACCAGATAATGTGGGCCTGGCACCATATACCCTGATGTAACAGTGGTACAAGAAAGGTCCTTTACTTGCTGTGACTTTGATTAGTCATTATACTTCCACAGTCCCTGTGTGGGTTGCGGGGCCCCATTATGAGGGACAAAGAATACATCCACTGCCTCCTTACTAGCATGTTGTAAGAGTAAACTAATTAGGCGTTTCGTTCGAAGTCGGAGTGTATATGCATGAGAGGCCAGGAACCAACAGTCTGCATAGAATTTAGTCAGATCTGTCAAACGGAGGTGCATGCTGAGCTCAGGTTCTAGAACAGAGTTGAAGTTCAGAAGTAAACAAACAGTTGGAACTTTCCGCGGAAGTTGACAGCTGACACACACAAAGAAGAAGATACTTTAACAAACCTGTAATCATCAAATCTATAATGAAAATCACAGCTTTATCTTAAAAAATAAAATTTAAAAAAAATTGTTTACTTTTATTCACTGGAAAAGAACTAGTTTTTTTTTTGGGTAAAGAGTTGGTGTTTTTTAAGTTGAATATTATAATGAATCTTGACAGTCATTTTCCCTACATGGGTTAGGGCCCCATTGTGAAGAAAACAAGAATAGACCCACTACCTCCCTAACAAGCTTGTCTTTGGAGTTAACTATCTGCGAACTTCCTTCAAAGTTGTAATGCATCCTATTGAGCGGCAATTCACAACTAACTGCACATAAAAAAGCCAGTAAAACAGATATACATGCAAAACTCAGCAGTGGCACAAAACCAAAGTCCAAATGGACGAAAAACCAGGACTTTCCACTGGACTTTACACCCGGTGAACAAAGAAGAAGAAGAAGAAGAAAGCCATTTGTAGTGGCATGGAGGTGTGTCAGCACACAAACTGATACACCCATGGAAAGGCATGATTGCCCACGCCAGTTGGCAAGGCACTTAATATAGTGGTAATGCCATACTCTTTTGTAGTCTTTCATTAAATTGTTTTTAATAGCATTGACTGTAATACTAGAATGGGATAAAGGTTTAAATGTAGAAAATAACATATATTTTGTGTTTTTGGCAGCAATTTGTAAAATGTGCTTTTTTAAACATGATCCTTATCTGTCATTGTCAAGGTGAAGGTAGTCTTATCTCACAGGGGTTCTCAGTTAGGTGAAACCTGTGAAACCCTCTTATTTTCAGTGGGTTACTACTGATCCAATACCTTTTAATGTTCATACTGAAGAACTTTTGGACCAGAAGGTGAAGACAAGATGCTGGACACACTCTAAGCAAACCAGACAACAGTATAATTAGAACGTCTTTGCCCTTGAACCCACAAGGGCATAGAAGTAAAGGCAGACCAAAAAACACAGGAAGGAAGAGCTAGAGAGTGAATTTAAAAAGGTGGGGAAGACATGGGGTGAGCTGGATGTAATAGGGGAGGGATAGAAGGCAGAAGAAGAAGAAAAAGACTGAGTAATTTATTAAAATTCATAAATATTCCTCATTGCCATGTGTGGTATGTCAGAGGCATCGCACGGTAGCCAAGTGTCTAGGAGTTATGTTTATAAGATGTCTGTCCTCCACACCTCCAAACTGGATTTCCTCCAACCACCAACCATGCCGCTTACTTTCCTTGGCATGGCACATGCTGATGGTGATTATAACTGGAGTAGAGGAGGGCCTACTTAAAATGAGCACCACTGTACACCACAATACACCACTGTACACCACTGTACACCACAATACACCACTGTACACCACAATACACCACTGTACACAGTAACAAGCTAACACATCCTGTGGTAACCGTTGACATTGTCTACAGGTGCTGTAACATAATACACCACGCCAAGTATGATCTCATAGTGGTATCAGTCTCTTTATTATGGACGAACACATTGTGACAAAGATGAGTACTGAGCAGTGGCACACTGTCAAGTCTTCTATTGCCTTCCCATACTTACATCGGCAGTCACTCAAGACATGGACAAAACACCCTGACAAAACACAAAATCACAGTGACAGAAATCCTGTCTAACTGGGATCCACCACAGTGCACCAGACAGAATAAAATGCAGTCCAAGCATCCACTGGACAGAAATTTGCGAACACACGTCCACACAGTTAGACTGTCTGAAAGCTACTGACTCACTCAGACTACCACAGGACTCCCCCCCCCCCCCCTCCTCCAACACACGATCAGTTACATGTGAATCTCACATTCCTTACACAACTCAGGGAGTTTGCAGCCACCCGTGAGTATCACACAACTTCTGTTTCGCAACTTTCAATTGGCTCACATGTTAACATTCCCTACCTGTCAACACCTGGCTTCATAAACTTTCTATACCCCACATTGATTTCGCACAAAACACACATTGGGTTCTGAGGCTGCTCTGTGAGGGGAAGAAAGTAAGAATAGATCTACTGCCTCCCTAACAAGCAATTGCTAAAGACGACAGGTGGGATTGCTTACTTGGAAGTAGGCGTGTATATTGCATGCACAACTCAAGTTCTGGAACAAGACTAAGTTTAGAAGTGAACGAAGAACCAGAACTTCCCTCTGGAGTTTACATCCGGGTGCTGCGAATAAGATATTTATGTATACTGTCAATTAACAGTGTTATATTAGAATTAATTTGTGAATTATTTCTTTTGGTGTAGTTGAGTTAGCATAGGGAATAGAAGCTCGCGATTGAGCCCAAATGTCTAGCTTAGAATCCTCATTCCAACTCTTTCTGTAGCAGTTAACACATTTTGGATTGATTTATGATTAATTTAACACTCCTCTGGTACCCAAAGATTTAAGGCAGTTTTTTATAACCCAGTTTAAGCTGGCTGCTAGGAAATGTTGCTAACCACATCACTTATCGAGTACCAGTTGGTCTACAAATCTGTGGGTCAAGACCATATTCCTATTGCACCAGTAGGAGGAAAAGAGTTCTTTGACTGACTGTTTCTCTTGTCCACACTTAACTAGGTTGTCTCCCCAACTAGCAGTGAGAAGTCTGACTCAGATTCTAGAAGTCAGAGCAGTGAGTGCAAGAAAACTGTGACCTTCACAACAGCAGCACCATCAGTTGCTACGGCTTCGTCAGTCACCATTACAACAGCTGTTTCAACAGAGTCATCTAAGCCAGTTGTATTAGTGATCTCACAGGATTCCTCTGTTTATTCAGCGTCTGCAACATCTTCAGGATTATCAGCGTCCACCATTTCTCAGCCTACGTCTATCTTGAAAACAGCACCATCTGTGACAACTGTTGCATCTTGTTCATCTGTAGTATTTGCCGCAGACAGTCAGACAGTCAGACCAGCTCCAGAAATCAATGTTAATAACTATGATCCCATGAAGTTGAGATCATCATCAGCATCGTCTACATCCTCATCTAAACCAAGTTCTTTCATCACCACAGAGGTTTCTCAGGCGGACACACAGCCAAGTTCATTAGCAGACTTGTCGTCAGTGGGTCTCTCTTCAGAATCAAAATCTGAAGTACAGATTAAAGAAGATCTTGAAAAGATAGATGAATCTTCTGGGGTGAAACAAGAACAGATGGATACAACAGAAGCCAGCTGTGACCCGCATATGAAACTTCCTGTCAAGGTTGAGAACTGCCTAGAGTCCACCTCTGCACTTCCTGGTTCTGAAGGTGGTGGCAGTAATGTGGCGGATGTCACGAAGCCGCTGAGCATTGAGACCAAGTTCAACACCTCTCCTTGTGCTGCCAGCAGTGAGAGCACAGACACCGCCAGTGAGATAGGCAGTGTGTTCAGCTCCCCAGGCAGTCTCAACACAAGTTCCTGTCAGAGCAGCCCCCAGTTTTCTGATGGCAACACCACTGGAGGTATGTGTTCTACACATTACATGTTGTCTTGGTCCTCCACCCTCATGCCTGTCCTGCTCTATTGTATTGTACACAACTTTCCCTTGCTCTCAGTTTTGTGTGTGTCAGAGTAGCTGTCAGTCTTCTAATGGCAGTACCACAGAAGGTTTGCATTGTATACACTAGATAGGTTTGTTGGTGCTACGCTAAAGTCACCAAAGTGTCAGATCCTTGTTTCAAGATAATCCCATTCCAACATTGAAATCTCTCAAACATGTGTAGCTGGGCGAAAAGTAAAACTTTCATGACAAGTTTGAAGCAGAAATTCACATGTGTGCCTTTGGGATATTGTAAAGTAACAAATATCATCCCTTAAAATGCACTTCTGTGAAAATCACAAAAATTGCACGTAGGCAATTATGAAATAATACCTCTCTCTCTCTCTCTTTCTGTCTTTGTCTCTCTCTCTCACTCATTTTTTCTCTGTGTGTGTGTGTGCACTTGTACACTGCTTTTCTTTGCTCTAAGTGTGTGGGTATATACCAGGGTATACATGCCAGTTACCAGTTATGAAGGACATCCTCTGCTTGGCAATCTGAATGATGTTAGAGGAGACGAAAAGAGAAAGGTCATGGATGGCTCTGGCTGACAATACCATCTTTCAGTTGAGCAAATACACAGGGGGCAGGAATGGGTCGATAGGAACACATACAGCATCAGTTTCCATCAGGTTAATGTCACATTAGGAAGAGAATGTAGAGAGTGCTATTACGACATGACAGAAATAGAGCTACTACAGTTGATAGATGAAAATGCTGGGGATTTTCACCTAAAGTCATGGGAAAGATGGTGGCTGAACAAAGTTTTGCTGGTTTTTTTTTAAAAATCTACAGCTTCAACTCTTTGAGTCCCAAGGAACGCATCATACGTTCATATTTTACTGCCTAGAGACCCAGTGAACGCATGATGCACCGATTTTACATCTCTCTTGACTACCCCTTGGGCCTGTGATGCTAAACCCTCTGGGACTCAAAGAGTTAAGCATGAGGATGGAGGTGGAGGCAGTCACCTGCAGGAAAACAGCGTTACCAGAGGAATTATACAGACTAATTCTCATTCAGTACTGAGGGAGGTTAAAAGGGACACCAAGCATCAGCACATCAACATGACAGGGACTCACATGTGGGATAAACTGTGCAGGATATGCAGGAGTGCAAGGAAATGAAAGAGCAGATTTTCTGGCTACAAAGGCTATAGGACACTCATCCTGAGCAAAGGAGACATTCTGAAGACCATTTGTGAACAAATGTTGATAGAAGACATGAGGGTAGATGAAATAACATGTTTAAGAATGTGTGAATGAGAAATTAGGTGTGGATCAGGCAAGGATGGACACATGAGAGGAAGAGAACGACGAGTTTATAATCAGTGTGCTGCGAGAACAGTTATCATCTACACCTTACAAGATTTGCTGTGGGAGACGGAGCTCGTATGGGTATGCCCAGTGTGCTATGATATTGATTCTTAAATCAGTAAGGCCGGCTATCCCATCCCTAAACAAGATCCAGCCAGAAAAACTGACTGACTATGAATAAGTCTCACACAAAAAGGAAGCAAAAATTATTAATTCAACCAAGGTGAGTGGAGACATTTGTCCTTGATAAGTGTCTAATAAAAGTAATGCTTGGCATAAGATATTTAAGAACCTATGTTTCATTAAAAACTAAAAGGCAGACTAAGAGGGGGAAGAAGAAGCTGCCGTTTTAGCATGCCTTCGTTGTTTGATTATTTATGTATATGTTATTCATTTTTATTTTGTGATTTAATGATTAACTCTTGTTGTCTCTTAAATGTTTGTGTAGATTGTAAAACATATTGTTGTGATGAAGGACATCCCCACAAGAGAAAGAGGAGATCCAGCCATGCATTCACACCTAAGGTAAGTGCCTAGTTTCATTGTGGTTTTTATGATGGAAGATTTATATTGCACATGGGCATCTCCATAGGAGTCTCAGTCTTCTCCCATAACTCACACCAGCAGAATCTCAACAAAGTCCATGATCTCTGTAGCATCAGAAAGGATTCAGACTCACATATATAGCATTTGGATTCTTTACCTTCGTTGCCCTCTCATAACTTCACTCCCACCATAGATGTCACATATTCTCCTATACCGATTTATCTTAGCCTTCCACAAAGGTGTCTCTTAGTCTCCCATACAGATTTTTTATAACTGCCCACATAGATTACATTATCTTAACCTTACATTATGTTAGCCTCTCACACAGATGTCTCTAAGCCTCTCACACAGATGTCTCTAAGCCTCTCACACAGATGTCTCTAATCTTCTCACACAGATGTCTGTTAGCCTCTCACACAGATGATTGTAAGCCTCTCACACAGATGTCTCTAAGCCTCTCACACAGATGTCTGTTAGCCTCTCACACAGATGTCTCTAAGCCTCTCACACAGATGTCTCTAAGCCTCTCACACAGATGTATGTTAGCCTCTCACACAGATGTATGTTAGCCTCTCACACAGATGTATGTTAGCCTCTCACACAGATGTCCTAAAGCCTCCGACACAGACATATGTGAGCCTCTCACACAGATGTCTCTAAGCCTCTCACACAGATGTCTCTAAGCCTCTCACACAGATGTCTCTAAGCCTCTCACTCAGATGTCTGTTAGCCTCTCACACAGATGTCTCTAAGCCTCTCACACAGATGTCTCTAAGCCTCTCACACAGATGTCTCTAAGCCTCTCACACAGATGTCTGTTAGCCTCTCACACAGATGATTGTTAGCCTCTCACACAGATGTCTCTAAGCCTCTCACACAGATGTCTGTTAGCCTCTCACACAGATGTCTCTAAGCCTCTCACACAGATGTATGTTAGCCTCTCACACAGATGTATGTTAGCCTCTCACACAGATGTATGTTAGCCTCTCACACAGATGTATGTTAGCCTCTCACACAGATGTCCTAAAGCCTCCGACACAGACGTATGTGAGCCTCTCACACAGATGTCTCTAAGCCTCTCACACAGATGTCTCTAAGCCTCTCACACAGATGTCTCTAAGCCTCTCACACAGATGTCTCTAAGCCTCTCACACAGATGTCTCTAAGCCTCTCACACAGATGTCTCTAAGCCTCTCACACAGATGTCTCTAAGCCTCTCACACATATGTCTCTAAGCCTCTCACACAGATGTCTGTTAGCCTCTCACACAGATGTCTCTAAGCCTCTCACACAGATGTCTCTAAGCCTCTCACACAGATGTCTCTAAGCCTCTCACACAGATGTCTGTTAGCCTCTCACACAGATGTCTCTAAGCCTCTCACACAGATGTCTCTAAGCCTCTCACACAGATGTCTGTTAGCCTCTCACACAGATGTCTCTAAGCCTCTCACACAGATGTATGTTAGCCTCTCACACAGATGTCTCTAAGCCTCTCACACAGATGTCCTAAAGCCTCCGACACAGACTTATGTGAGCCTCTTACACAGATGTCTCTAAGCCTCTTACACAGATGTCTCTAAGCCTCTCACACAGATGTCTCTAAGCCTCTCACACAGATGTCTCTAAGCCTCTCACACAGATGTCTCTAAGCCTCTCACACAGATGTCTCTAAGCCTCTCACACAGATGTCTGTTAGCCTCTCACACAGATGTCTCTAAGCCTCTCACACAGATGTCTCTAAGCCTCTCACACATTAGCCAAATAAAAGGTGAAGAAGGAGTAGTAATAGATCTGCAGAAGATAGATTAGTAGCTGGAACATGAACATATACACAGTTTTTTAGACATTCAATACCATTACTGGCTTGTCACCACTAATCATCATCTCCACCCACTGCATGGATGCGTCTGCTGCAATCTCATCTAGATGACCAGATCAGAATTCATCAACAAATTTAGAGTGTCCTTGAGCAGTTTTTTTTTTTATACCTATTTTTTATCAATGCACTGCATATGTCAGTATGAAACAGGAAGCATTTCCTTATGAATGTCCTTAGCAGGCAGCCTTTTTTTTGTCGCCTCCCCCCCCCCCCCCCACCAGCCACCAGAGGGTAAAAAAACACAACAGCATGTTGTTCCTCGTTACTACATTCCATAAGTACAGTCACCATTTTTTTTTTCTGTATGAGCATGCAACACCTAGCGCCACCTAGTTCAAAGTTGCTGTCACCTAATGACACTTTTGAAAACCACCAACTACATTTTTCTGCCATCACATAACCATTTGTGACTTAGTTATTGACTTCCCATCATATTTCAAATTTATAACCCAGAAAGGAGCAGATGGTTGAGTGATTAGAAGACCATCACCTGCAGAAGACCCGGGCTCGAATCCTCGGTGAGGTAATGAAAGTCTTTTCTGTCGAGGTCAAAAACAAACATCCTAACCTATATAATTCTTGGCGACCACACTAGCCATGTGACCCTAAATCTTTAGGCTCAAGCCCCTAAGAATTAATGCAGTAAAGACAGATTGTAAAAAAAAAAAATTGCAATGTTTTGTATAAATAAAAGAAGGTTCAGACATCAGTCATTTCTTTATCAGGATCTGCTGGACCTTTTGAAGAATGTGGAAAATGAAATTGCCATTTGTGAGAATCATCTCAAGGAAGAGAATGAGAAACGCAAGAAATACAAGGTAAAATATGGAGATCATTTTGGCTTTATTGTCTGAATGATCTTCTTGACTTGGTGGGTGAATGATCTTCTTGACTTTATTGTGAGAATGATCTTCTTGACTTTATACTGTCAATGATCATCTTGTCTTTATACTGTCAATGATCATCTTGACTTTATACTGTCAATGATCTTCTTGATTTTATAGTGTCAATGATCATCTTGACTTTATACTGTCAATGATCATCTTGACTTTATAGTGTCAATGTTCATCTTGACTTTATACTGTCAATGATCATCTTGACTTTATACTGTCAATGATCATCTTGACTTTATAGTGTCAATGATCATCTTGACTTTATAGTGTCAATGACCATCTTGACTTTATAGTGTCAATGATCTTCTTGTCTTTTTGGTGTCAATGATCATCTTGACTTTATAGTGTCAATGATCATCTTGACTTTATACTGTCAATGATCATCTTGACTTTATACTGTCAATGATCATCTTGACTTTATAGTGTCAATGATCATCTTGACTTTATAGTGTCAATGATCATCTTGACTTTATAGTGTCAATGATCTTCTTGACTTTATAGTGTCAATGATCATCTTGACTTTATAGTGTCAATGATCTTCTTGATGGCCTAGTGTGAAGGATGTTCTTGACTTGTGGTGTGAATAATCTTCAAAACACCCACGTTCAATCCTTAGTAAGGTGATGGAAGTGTTTTTTTCTGTCAAGGATAAAAATAAACACCCTAACCTGCACAGTCTTTGGTGACTGCACGAGTCATACGGCCCTAAATCCTCAAGCTCTAGACCCTCTTGTCCTACACCGCCTGAAAAAAATAAGGAAATACAGACAGGAGAGGGAAGACACCAGGGTGTAGTGGCTAGACCTTTTTATTTCTCCAAATGACATTGGCTGTCAGGTTGACGCAAGTCCTGTGGAGTAAAGGCAGCCATTATGATACTGACCACATCACCCACTGTGTGCCGATTAGTCTGTAAAATATAGGTCTAACCCTATATACCCAGTACACCTCAAGGCGTGGAAGAAAGGTCCTTTACTTTACAGTAGGGCTATACTGAATATTCGCTTTGTATTCGCTTCGGGGCCGAATAGTAGACCTATTGACTATTCAGTATTCGTCCGAAAAGTTGAGGTCGGGCCGAATACGAATATTAGTTACCTTACACCTGCTTTTGCATACACGGCCTTAATGCTGACAACATGGAACGATTGGGTTTGTTGAAAGCTAATGCAGCTTTCCTGCATTAACTAAGCTGTCAGTGACAATATCCAAGCTTAGTTACTTGTTATAATGCTTAGGATTCTTTCATTCCTAGTTATAAGTTACCACAGACTGACTGAAGATGCAAAACATAAAATGTTTTTAAATGTTTACTATTCTGTACGAATACTAACTAGACATGGAAAGAATATAAACTCCGGCCACATCCAAGTCGATAAATATGAAAATCAAACGAATGGTAACAAAACAGTACTTGGGTGCAAACTTCAACTGCCCCAATATGCTGAGAGAAAAAATACAATCTAGAATACAATCTAGAAATAAAGTATACTATGCCCTTCAACATCTGCTAAAGTCAAAGTGTCTGTCTCACAACACCAAGATCAAAATATATAAAATGTTGATAAGACCAGTTGTTCTATATTGCTCTGAAAAATTGAAGCAGAAATAAAAGAGACGAGGCCTCATTACAGGTTTTCGAAAACAGTCTTACGACAAATCTTTGGACCTAACAAAGATGCTAACAGCGGGAAATGGAGAGTGAGAAGCAACAACTTAACACATAATATGTTTAAATGACCATTGATCACTGGCATCAGAGCTAACACTAAAATGGTTGGGACATATTGAAAGAATGTCAGATGACAGAGAAGTAAAAACTGTATACACCTGAAAGAGGAATGGACGCAGACCATGAGGCAGCCAAAAAAAGAAGTTCGAGAGATAATGTCCAACCAGACCTGCAAACAACTGGTGTCACAAATGGTGAAGAGAAGGCCAGTCAGAGAGATATATGGAGACGAGTGATATCTGCAGCAGTAAACCTTAAGGGCTCAGAATGCTAAAGAAGAAGATGACTATTCTGTGCTACTTTATGTGAAGTAAAAATTCAGCGATCATTTGACATTACAAATTTTTTTTTTTAAAGATATATTTTATACACTATGCACTATTCGTATTCGGTCGAATAGTTGGTCCCGCTATTCGTATTCGGCCGAATAGTGAAAATCACTATTCTGTACAGCCCTACTTTACAGGTAATTGAGACAGTTGATGTGGCTGCAGTATTGTTCCCAGCTGCACTGCAAAAACCCCATGACACACTGCAGAACTGCCCCCTACAGCAAAAACTGCCAGAGAAAGCATGGCCAGAGGTAAGAGGCACCCAGGAGCAACCTTTGGCGAGCCCTTAGAGATTTGCTCATGTGCCTAGTCATGGAGGCAACACAACTGATAACCTGAGCAAATAAAACTTCTTGCAAAGAAGAAGTTCTCACATTTCTTAGTTTTTTTCCTTCTTCTTTTTTGTTCACCAGCTGTAAGCTGCGGTGGAAAGTCCTGGTTGTTCGTCCCTTTGGACTTTGTGCTGGGTCCTGAGTTTTGCATACATATCCGTTTTACTTGTTTATTTGTGTGCATTTGGTTGTTCCTTGCCGCTCCGGCAGATGCACTCCAACTTTGAAAGAAGCTCCCAGTTAGTTGATTCTTACGACCTGCTTTTTTTTTTTTGGGTAGGCATTGATGCTGTTTTTGTTCTCCCCCCACAGCAAGGCACCGAAGTCCACACGGGAATTGGTTTCCTAAGGCTGAGTCACAGTTGTTTCTGTTTTCCCCAGATCGATGCATGTCGGAGAACACACAACTACGACCAGTTCATCATGACTTTTCTGAAAATGTTGGCAGAGCAAGGACTGCTGGGAGATCTCATGGAAGAAAACATGGCTATCAAGAAGCCAGGAGGGACTGCAGTTGCAGCGCCAAAAATCGCCAAGAAAAGTCTGTTGAAGGTTTCGGAGAAAAAGAAGAAAGCAAGGATTAAAAAGAGAGGGAAAAAATAGTTAACTTTTTAGTGGGGTATGCAATTACTTATAATTGCTGTCATCATCATCATCTTCATACAAAACAAAACGCCGCAGTTATGTAGAACCAGTTGCTGTTTCTTTAGAAGAGGGTGTCTTAAGATAAAAAATAGAAGTATAGGAAAGGGCTGTCTGAACATCTCAGACATCTCGAACATACAATGCTAGCATCATATTTTTAAAGCCCAATGTGCATTTAGTACAGGCATCATGTCGACATCTGTGGCTTAGGTGTTGTGAACACGCTTTGCAATTCTGAGGTGACCGGTTCACTTCCAGTGGGCAGTTTGGCAGCACACTGCCTGACATTGATTTTGACAGGAGTGTTAAGAGAAAGTAATGGCAAACTACTGATTGTAAAATTGCCTAGTATTGCCAAAAGCGTCCAAACAATGCTGGGGTTGGTTCTGCAGAGTCCAGTAAATGATATGCAGTTATATTTATTTTATTAATTATACGCCTTAGATATTCCAATCGTCCATGGCTTGTGTGATCGATCAGGGCTAATAGTCTGAAATGGCTGAGGCATGCAGAGAGAATGGTGGACAACAAAGAGGCCAAAACTGTACACAAAGAAGTTGAACGGCCGTAGGCCAAGCGGAAGATGGTGAGATAATATCTGGGCTGACCAACAAACACTTGCACTGACCAACTGCAAAGAGAAGGACAATCACAGAGATGGGTGAAATCTTCAGCTATGAACCTTAAGGGCTTGGGATGCCAAAGACAAAATATGCACTTACAGGATGAAGCAGCATCATCATACTGATCACCTTTACTTTCCAGGTCATTTTTCCTGCTAATTATTCTAGGTTGAATTAACCTGAGAGGGCAGAATAGTTTTTAAAAATCTGCCTCAATATGTGGAGTCAAACCTATACCCACTGGGCTAATAGACAAGTATGCCAACCACTGAACTGCCCAGCTTCTCTATCAGTGAACAAATAACTATTTTGATGTCTTCCTTTTCTTTCTTTTAATTTTTTTCTTCTTTAAATTTTCTTCTGTGTGTCACATTTTCTTTCAGGTTGGGTGCTAAATGTATAAGTCAAGTGAAGTAACTTATGAATTGTTTCACACAATATTTAATTCACTTCTTTTACTTAATCCCTTTCTTCTGTTTTTCCTTCTCTGTGTCAGGTTTCTGTTTGAAACCTCATTGACAATTTCATATTGATGCTAAATGTGCTGTTCCTGTAAAATAACATGAATTCTTTCAGGCTATCAGGTGGATTTCACCTTATCGAAAATGGGGCACTCCATCAAGAATATTTAATTCACTGCCAGTTTGCTAGGTCAGTTGCAGTTTCCTGGATGGGTATGGTTAGATTTAACACTCCCCCACCCCCATATTGTAAGATATTATTTGGAGTGAAAGAATAATAGTTGAAAAAAATTGTGGATTCACTGTGTTGTTACATAATTTCATTATTATTTTATATTGCTCTCTCTGTTGCAAATTGACCCAAACAACTTTTAAATAGTAAAAGGGAAGGTAAATTCTTTGCTGCATTTGCATTCTTTGATTACTTCCCTTTACCTAGAAGTAAACCTTTTCCCCAGTTAGAGAGTGACTGAATTTTTTTTTTTTTTTGGGTGGTAACTATTGTTAGGGACGTGACTTCATCAGAGAAGCAAAGGACTTCACACCTGCTTTTTTTCTCAGGAGTTCAGCCCCCTGTATATTTTTTTTTAATTCGAACAAGACTGCAGATTTCTTTTGCCTCTTCTAGTTTTGTAATAGTTTCAGAGAATTATACTAGGGGGAAGTCAATAAATAAGTCACAAATGATTATGGGATGGCAGGAAAATATAGCTGGTGGTTTCTAAAGGTGTCATTAGGTGATAGAAACTTGTAAATTTATGTCTTCGTTCGTTAAATGCCGCTACGTATTGCATGCACATTCGCAACACAGAAACAAAATTGTGGCATAGCTGGGTAAAAAATTGTCTATAGGGCGCTCTAAATTTGTTGATGAAATCTGATCTGGTCATCTTGTTGAGATTGCAACAGACGCATCCATGGAGCGGGTGAAGGAAATGATTAGAGGTGACAGGCGAGTAAAGGTTGACTCTATAGCTGCTGCAATAGGGTGCTTACTTGGTTAAGCATACATCATAATGCTTGATCGATTGAAATTGAAGAAAGTTTGCTTAAGCTGGGTACCCAGACAGTTTAAAAGTGAAAATATGGTTTGGAAAACAGAGCAGGCAGTTCAGTGCAGCAGGTTTAGGAGGACTGATAAAACAATGAGACAAGTGCATCAGTGTTGGTGGAAATTATGTTTTAAAATAACGGGACTGTGTGCAAAAATTAATGGTTTTCGAATTATCTTTTATTTTTAAGGTATTTTTTTTTAAAACAACCATTTGTGACTTACTTATTGACTTCCCCTCGTATTATGCCCCCTTTTTTATTACGAAATTTAAAGGTCTTTGTCATTTTTATATGTACAGGGCAGAAGGGTTTAAAGTTTGGCAGCCCAAGCTAAAGCATAATTTCACAGGATGAAGACTATTCTATGCAATATATCTTTGTCATTCGAGGTGGGGGAGAGTTCTTAGAGTTGTATAAAGCCAAAAGTGTGTATGGAAGTGAATCATTGACACTTAGCAGATAAGAATTATGTTGAAACTGCAAGGATGTGCTTATATTGAAGAATAAATGAGAACACAGTAGTCAGATGAAACTCGTATTGGAGACATCATGAAACAAATTAACTCAGAGACTAGAACAAGAATCACCATGGCAAGATGCAAAAGTTACCAATAAAAATTATGTCTCTTGTAGTGTAAAAAAATAGTATACACGTGCTGTATATAACCTGTGATGTTATATACATGTGAGGCATTGACAGTCAGTAGGCAAGCTGACAAAACATTTACTTGCAGTGCAGATGTGGTTTTTGAGCAGAATGCCAAGAATATCAAGAAATTATAGAAAAACATACAAGACAGTCCTTCTCCAGGCAAGTGAAAGTCATCCTTCTCAAGACAGGTGAAAAGCATCCTTCTCGAGACAGGTGAAAATCATCCTTCTCGAGACAGGTGGAAATCATCCTTCTCGAGACACTGAAAATCATCCTTCTCGAGACACATGAAAATCATCCTTCTCGGGACATGTGAAAATCATCATCCTGACGGACAGGTGAAAATCATCCTTCTCAAGGCAGTTAAAAATCATCCTTCTTGAGACAAATGAAAATCATCCTTATCGAGACATATGAAAATCATCCTTCTCGAGACCGGTGGAAATCATCCTTCTCAAGACACGTGAAAATCATCCTTCTTGAGACACATGAAAATCATCCTTCTCATGACACATGAAAATCATCCTTCTCGGGACAGGTGAAAATCATCCTTCTTGAGACAGATTAAAATCATCCTTCTCGAGACAGATGAAAATCATCCTTTTCGAGACAGATGAAAATCATCATTCTCGAGACAGGTGGAAATCATCATTCTCGAGACAGGTGGAAATCATTCTTCTCGAGACAGATGAAAATTATAAACTGACTAGAGAGATCAGACAATCAGTGTTTCTTTCTCTGACAAGAATGTTGACCTGATCTGTGGTTCTGGTGGTAGCATGAGATAGGGAAACATGAAAGCCCACACTTATCGACAGGGTACATAATGATGATAATGAAAGAGATCTGATAATCTGCATCAGAAGTAAAAATCCATGTTCTTTTGATGATATGAGAGAAACTGGAGTATGTTGTGTCAAGTGAAAGGTTGGAGTGAATGAAAGGTAGGTGAAGATGACAGGAGAGGATGTTGGATAGCTAGGTATATTGAAACAGAAATTACCTTTGTAAATGTTCAGATGCATACTACAACAGTGCACACTGAAACAAAAATTATCTTTGTAAATGGACACAACATTGCACATGGAAACAAAAAATACCTTTGTAAATGGATGCTTAGTACAACATTCCACATGGAAACAAAAATTACCTTTGTAAATGGACACATACTACAACAGTGCACATGGAGTATAAAACAAATTACTTTTGTAAATGGTTATATTATAATACCTAGAATCAAAAATTATTTTTGTAAATGAACGTATGCCACAACAACACAGTGAGTGGTGGTTGAACATTTGCACATGTTTATTCATTATGTTGTCATTGTATAAATCATCTGCAGATGCAAGTTTTTTCTGATCAAAATAGATAGTGTTTCTGTGGTGATTAAATTTGGTAAGTTGACAAGTGTGGTGATTTTAGAAACTGATCAACCTATGATGATTAGAGGAACTGATTAGATTGAAGTGATTTAAAGAACAGATTAAATTGAAGTGATTAGAGAAACTGATAAAATTGAAGTGATTAGAGGAACTGATTAAATTGAAGTGATTAGAGAAACTGATTAAATTGAAGTGATTAGAGGAACTGATTAAATTGAAGTGATTTAAAGAACAGATTAAATTGAAGTGATTAGAGAAACTGATAAAATTGAAGTGATTAGAGAAACTGATTAAATTGAAGTGATTAGAGGAACTGATTAAATTGAAATGATTAGAGGAACTGATTAAATTGAAGTGATTAGAGGAACTGATTTTTTAAAAATCAAAACCCGCACCGACAGTTTTGTCTGCGCTAGCCTGACACCCCTAAATCCTTAGGCTTAATAGTCCCCAACCCTAGACAACACTAAATAACCGTCAGCAAATACAAGCAAAATACGTTCTTGTCTTTTTAAACCTGTTTAAAGAATTTTTCCCCAAAAAACTTATGTTTGTGTCTGAGATTTTCATAACAGTATGTTTATTACTTTATCAATCGAGTTGAGTTGGGTAAAGAATTTACATCACAGCACTCAGGGCATTCCCATGTGTGCTCTGTCCTCATCTGCAGCAGCCAGGGCAGAGTTCCAATACTGATGGTACTGGTCACAATCTAGTTATATGTCTTGCCTTTCCTCTGAAGATAGTGAGCCGGCCAGACCCTCTTGTTACACCCAGGTGCTTT